ATTTTCCTTCCAATTCAGGTTTAAGTACAAAAAAATAAATTCATATTTTCCTTCCAATTCAGGTTCATTATATGCAACGTTCCAAGCCCGAACGATTGGTGTAAGAACGACGTACGTAAGTGCATTGTTAGTTAAATAAACTGAGATTTTTGGACTTGCCCCCCTAAGCAGATTGGTGCAAGAACGAGGCAAGTGCGGACTTACCTCGTTCTTGCACCAATCTGCTTAGGGGGGCAAGTCCAAAAATCTCAGTTTATTTAACTAACAATGCACTTACGTACGTCGTTTTTACACCAATCGATCGGGCTTGGAACGTTGCACATAATGATGTTAAAACATCATTTTCGCCAAAATGTGGACTCGCCTCTTTCTTGCAGTAATGTCTTCAATTGTGATAGAGTGCGTGTACACACATATATATATATACTTAAAAGAAATATATGGCAGTAGCAAGCGAGATTGAGAAACATTTGTCTTCAATGATGTACGAAGATCGCGATAGAAAGCGAGCTCAGTGGAAGTTCACTTGAGCAGCTCGAGATCAGGTGTGGAACTAGAGAACTCGCGATCTTCTTGTCGTGCTCAGAGCTTCATGTCGAAGATAAAGACTTCCTCTTCCGGATGTTTCTTTCTGATGTGAGCGTAAACTGGTGACGTTTGCTTGCTGCGGAGTCCGCAATAGGGGCACTGAAACCTCGGCTCGTGACCGCATTCGTAGTTCACGTGGCGGTCCTTGTTCCTCTTCAAGGTGAAGCCACGACCGCATTTTTGGCACTGGAACGGCTTCATGTTGTCGGCGCTGGCCTTGCGCGTGCGTATCCTCGATTTCCTGCACACCTCGGAATTGAGCTTGCCGTCCGCTCCCGGTTGATACTTGCAGATCATGTTCGGCCCGAACGGCGACACCACGTGGAGCCCTGAAACACGGAGACGAAGATGCTGCAGGACATGCTCGAGTGCGCGCGAGAAAGAAAAGATTTGTTACGATGATCACCGGCCGTTCGGCTTAGGCTGCATCATCGGATTTCCCCAGCAAACAACGCATAATGAAAATGATTAAATCTGAGAGACGCTCCTCGCGCAACGTGACCTTGCACGTACTCAGCATTTCCGTCTTCGTCTGCACACGTCGTAAATAAATCGTTTATACAAACTACGTGGTGTAACACGATATCAATATCATGAAATCGACTGGTAGCGACTGTCGAGCGACAAACACTTCCTGATCTTGGAATGTCAAGAAGTACCGCTAGTATCATTTTCTTTATCGATGAGCGCAGATGGGCGTCATCCGTACCTGCAAGTGTGAAGCGCCGATACGTATTGATTAAGGATCTAAATGAATATACATTCACGTTTCTCAGTAAAACGAAAAGTAAAGTGATCAGACGTCGACAATTAGGTCGTGGGGCGATAACAGGGTTCTTTACAAATCAGCCACTCAATTGGAGATCCAGCTGCTCAGTTTATTGGACATAACAGTCGTAATATGCGAGGGCGAACGCATTCAATCAGAGCCGGAACATGGTGTTGAGCTTCCGATCGAAGTACAGCGGCGACAGAAGCGGGTGATGCACGCGTAGGTGACGCGTGATATGCCCCTTCTGATAATTTCGTATCGGGCAATACGTGCACTCGAATCTCGGCGGTTGTTTGCACTGATGGCGCAGATGCGCGAGCATCGATTTCTTCCACTTGTACAGATTGCCGCAACTGGGACACTCGTACATGCCGTTTAGCATATTGATCTCGTCCAAACAAATTTCTTCATGCTCCCTCCTCCACTTAGAGGAACTATCTGAAACCCATGAAAAAGCGGGATCGTTTTAGTAATGAGTCGGTCTTCGTTTTATCCTCATGAGGGACGTGTCCTGCAAAATGACGTTAGTGCACTCCCTCACCGATAAATCATGAAAACCACGTAAACGGGAGCGCTCGTTAAATATTGTCGTGACAAAAAGTCGAAAATGTCGACTTCGTTATTCACAGATGTAAACGAAGAGAAAACGTGTCAGGAGAGAGAAAGATATCACTCGAATAATAGTTGTCTTTATTGGTATACGCAAAATCGCAAGATCAACGAACGTCCATTACATTCTTTAATAAAAAGAAAACTGTTATATAAAATGTTTAGTGCGCAATCACGTGTTTTTAATTCAAAGATGCTCGAACTCATGATTTAATCAATTTTCGAAGAGGCAGCAGTCACGTGTAGCTGTAAGTTTTCTTATACATTTACCGATAGCACAATGTAGATTCGTTTCGTTGGCAAACGTGGATTTGCGAAATGCAATCCATTCTGTTTCGTATTGATCTACGACCTAAGGGTGGAAAAAGTAGGAAACTAGAGACGATGGAAGGATTGTCATGAAAATAAATCTACCACGATTATAATGCTTGAACAGCGAAAACTTTCGTGATAGAAGATATCCGAGTGAGATAATATTTGTAACGCAGTTGGTGTGAAAATTGTTGAAACAATTCTTTGACATACTTTCTAGTCTACTTCGAAACGTATCCGATATTCAACAGGAAAAAATTTGTTTCTCTAAAGAAACCAGAAAACAAACCCTCTTGTAATATCGAATGCGTTTCGAGAGTCACCGAAAAACAATGTTTCGACCATTTTGGCACCAGCTATCGTTCCTGTAAATTCTAGAGCGATAGTTTGAGTGTAGGAACACATTAATGTAGATACTAAAATTTGTTTTATACACATATGTATAATTATACACAAGACCTATAACGTTGTCTGCATATAATTCACATATTTTCCGAGAGGCTATTCTTTCAAACTTTCATTTCTTAAAATATGTTGAAAAAAAATGTTCAAATAACTTACTCTACAAATAGCCTATTTTACAAAGTATTCCAAGTAATTAAGTATATTCTAAGTAATTACCGATACATCTGAGGTCTCAACAGTCATGTTTCTCATATCACATTATATTCTTTAACATAATTTCCGTAATACATATAATTGCGTACGTATATATTAATTAAACTTTGATATCTCTATAGAATATATTATCTAGATATTATCTGTATAGAATTCTTAATGAACATGTGCATCATACGACAATTACATCCTGAAATACAGGATGCAAAGATTTTACTCGTATTCGGTACAGGGACATAAAAATTTCAAAAATGTAAAAAATATATATAAATATAAATTCTTTTTTTTTTAAACATGTCAAACAATACCGAATGAATCGGTATTATCTCACGGAATATAATTAAACAAACGTAACAGTGTAATTTCCTAAATGACTAAAGGCAGGATCGCTCTGTGACCGATTTCTCTTAGTCACTTCGATGTTCCTGCCAAGAGAGCCTCGCGTTGGTGGCGATGTCGATGCAATAGAGTTCACGATCCGGATGGAACGTGCGTATGTGCGTCCACACGTGTGTACGCTGGCGCAAGTGGTGCTTGCAGTACGGGCATTGAAATCGCTGCAGTATGCCGCACTCATATCTGTAATGGCGCATCATGTGGCTACGGTGTTTGTAGCTGCGGTGACAGTTCGGGCACTGATGGCGGGGCAAGAGGTTCTGGATGTAGTCGATGTTACGGTAGCTCTGCGGGGACCACTTCGGAAACGGATCTGGAAAAAGAGAGTTCGCAGCCGGTTAGTGAGGAAAAATGCGTCAACGAAGTCCGCGCGCAAACTTCTTCGTACTCGTCTTGATCCTCGAGGATAACTGGTCGGACACCGGAAGTGGCGGGAGCGAAGTTCGCGACATTTCCCGTGCGTGCGTTACACCTTGGGCACCTGTGAAGGACTCCCTCCCAGCAATCTTGCTGTGCAATATCGACATCACCAAAGGATCTGTACTTGGTCGAGCAAGTAATATCTGTGGGATCGCCGCAATCAATATTGGTGAACACGATCACGTTAAACAACACAACAGTGAAGGCACGAGATAAGAACATAAAGAGATAAGTCGGAAGATACAGGGAACATTTGGCAGGACAGTTACATTTCCGAGGGCAAAAGTACATCTGTTGCTTTTCTATGGACAATGCTGCGGGTCTTATAAATCTAACGATGCATAATTTAGTTAGAACTATGTACAATATTCGTCGGTTCTGGTATTAAATGATCTTATTTATTACCGATAAGTTTGCAAAGAGTTATAATTCAATTTTGGTATCTCGAAGAAAGTTACAGCTTCCACGTCTTGGCATACGTAACGGCAAGATAATACATAGTTAACATCAATACGTAACAGATAAAGTTATGACAAAAACAGTCATATCGGCATTAAAATAAATATCCGGCGTTAATAAATAAAAACAAATATAAAATTCCGATCAATGAATCAAATATTATCAAATATAATAAAATATAACGGCTTATTATACTCGAAAAATAATTACTCTTATTGTTTCGTATGGGCTGAGATCACAGGCATTACTTAACTGATTAAAAAAGTTCATAGTCGCCCGACTAAAATCGTCGTGAAAGCGTCTTCAAGCGTTGAAAGACACCTATCATGTTAGACAACAGGGTTTTCCATTACACTGGCCCAACTCACGTAATGTCATCGTTATAAAAACGATAATTATATGTTACGTTTATAAAATTACACGCGGATTTTATTAAATTTCACTCGTTCGTGCGTCGAACGGAAGTACCGCAGTGTTGAACACCGGTAAAACCCGCCGAGATTCCATTTCGGGGGAAGCGCGAGAGAGGAGTTTATACGTTCGCGTTCGTTTGAAGGGGTTTCAGTCTTTCTGAAGGTCGATGGCGTAAATGGGCCGATTGTAATGATTGCTCTTGATGTGCGAGTAAACGTGCGAGCGATGCTTGCCGATGTAAACGCAGTGCGGGCACTTGAAGCGCGGGGTCTTGCCGCACTCGTACTCGAGGTGTCTGTGCAGTCCGCGGTACCATTTGTAGATCTTGCGGCACTTGGGGCACTCGAAGGTACCGGGGGACGAGGTGCCGCCCGACATCGCACCTATTCTGGTACGGAATCGGCGCCGGTGGCCGGTGGTGACGGTGGACGCGGGGTCGATGTAGCAGGAGCGATTGTAGAAAGCTGTAAAAGCACAGGTTGATCGTCAGTCAGAAACGGCGGTTCACCGACGGGGGAGGGACGGAACGATAACAATTAAGAGAACACACGTGTCACTTTTCGCGTGCTGCGTTACCCGCTTTTGCGGCGCTATTCGGATTCGACGTGGTCGTCCGTGTTAATTCCTTATACCCTGAAAAATTAGCAGACAACGAAACAAAGAGCGAACATAATGTGAATCCACATGGACCACTTCAATCGTGATGAGGATGAGCTGTAAAACCAGGAGAAATACAGTAATACGGTAACTCCGCTCATTGCCAAGTAGAAACAAAATCCAGAGAGATAGATACGAGGAATATTTGGGAGCTCTTTATTTATTCTTTTATTCGCTCTCGAGATCACATCAAGCAAGGAAACACACTAGAGCGCGCGTATGTACGAGTATGATACAATAACACTTAAATATATATTAAAACTTCTTCTTTTAACAATGGATGTGCCTCAGATAAATTTGAGACGAAGAGTTTCGGATCACATTGACGTCGCATGCGTTGAGTCTTAACGATACAATCACAGACACAAAAGATAATTCTAATTAATTAAGCACTGATACTGCTCGCTCCCCCTCGAACTTTTCCCTACTGTCCCCCTTTTCTTCGAAGAGAGAACGAATCGGTAAGGGACGTATTACCCCCTAGATACATTCAGTCGTGGATTAGAAAACGGCAGATTTATTCAGGTGGATTCTAACAACTCCGATAGATCTCTCAATTGATCCTACAACACTTCACGAGAAAGTCGGGGATTTCCTCTTGGAGGCCGTCATCACGGATTCATTTACCGGGGTCTACCGCCGACGCGTGTATCTCGCGAAGTATCGATCGCAGGTGATTGTAAATGGTCGAGCGATATTTGGCCCGCTGGTCGCAATGCGAGCACTTGAAGCGTGACGACCGCAGTACATCTGATGCCTCGTCAGGTCCCTGTTGTAGACATATTGTCTGTTGCAACGCTTGCAGACGAACCGCTCGGGGCAGAAACGCATATTGGAGAACGTGGCAGCACCTGAAATCGAGAATGACCGTCACGATTAGAAGAAGCGGAAGCGAGCCCGCGCGTGATGTGAAGTACGAGGATTCGTTTGATCCGAGTTAACTCTCCGGATCGCGAGGACCTCCCGCTTCGTGTCAACTTTGCTAAAGAGAGAGAGAGAGAGAGAGAGAGAGAGAGAGAGAGAGAGAGACAGTTTCCTGGATTTACTTGGTCGTAGAAGCGGGATCAGAGACTGGACGGTGGCTCGACTCTCGCAGGGCTTTTATTGAGGTTTCCTTTTCACACGGACAATTGTCACTCTTTCTGCATATCTTCCGAGTAACAAAACAAAAACAGGAAGCGACCGAGGAAGAGATTGGTCGCCGTCGTCACGTTGCCAACGATTGCTCAATACAGCCGCCTGAAGCACAAGGCCTGACCGGGATGGTACTTTCGGATATGCGCGTAAATGTTCTGCGTGAATTTGGAGGGCTTGTCGCAGTACGGGCACTGATACTTGGGCGCCATGCCGCACTCGTGGCGCAGATGCCGCGTCATGTTCTTCTTCAGAGTGAAGCCGCGGTTGCAGCGTGGGCAGTAGTGACTCTTGTTCACGGAGTACACTTTGCGCCGCTTCCTGACGGCATTCTGGTGGCCACCTGAAAAATTCGAAGAGCCGAGTTAGCGGCAGCGAGCAGAGTTGCGCGGTTCGCTCTTCCAGATTTCCACGTTCTCGCCTGAGACCGTGGACACGCACGTGGGGTCCGTGTTGCCGAATAGCCGAGAAGGATAAGATTAACATAAGAACGAACGCACGCCTCGGCTGGATCGGTGGAGTGTATCCTGGGAGGATTCTCACGCAGCGGAGAGTGTAAGTTGCTCGGAATCGAAAACGATCGACGCTAATTCGTGACTGAAAAGAAGACCATGTCCGCCACAGGCACAATTGCTGCTCATCGACAAAGCACAGATTAACATGGATCGTTCTCGTTTCTACTCGGGTCGTTATACAAACGAGTGCGGCACAAGGCAAGTGTCAGATAGGAAAACCGACATAAATAAAGCCATACGATTTATTTCGCACGAGACTCTTCTCGAAGCTCGAGTTATAATCACACAGTCACAACGTAGGACACGTCAAACCACACTCTATGATAAAACTCACGCTCTATCGTCCATTCATATCCTAATTAATATTAGAATGATTCGTCTAATCTTGTGCCTGCGACAAATTAAAATTGAAAAATATGCTAGTCGTTGAGATAATAGAGAAAAATAGAAAAATTATGAGCAATGTGAGCCGTCACCGGATCGAAGGTGATAAGTTATATACATAGGTTTTTCTGTAAATATATTAGAAGATATATAAAAACATGTACGTTTCGGTCTACGGATGTGACCCTCTTCAGTAATACATAGATGAATAAAAAAACAAATTAGTCTAAACTTATTCTACAAAGCGATGAGTCATTATAAAAGAGAAGTCGTCCTGGTGGAATTACATTTAAAAGTAATAAATGGTAAAGAACTTATAGTGTAGACACGTCAGACTAGTGTATAGGTGAGCTTGTCAATTGTATAGTTAAACTGCGACAACATTCCACGCGAGCTGGCATTACAATTAGACAGATAAGACTCAGAATGTGATCGTGCTTGAGGTAAACACTTGGAATCGCAACCACGATTCCCGACATGATATATTTCTTATTATGTCAACGTTACAACATTATATTATCAAAATATAAAAAACATACTATTAAAAATTAAAGTACTTTGTAAGAAATCAAAAACTCCTAATTTCGTGTGCTATGTGTGTATGCGTAAGCACAGCAAAAATGATAAAATCATTGAGGCTTCAAACTTGTTCAGTGTTAGGTTTATGGGATTATTGCGTAGAAAATTGTATTCGAAGATCGCGTCAAGTTCTGACGACAAATTTATTCTTACGTAGGTATAAGTGGTCAATAGGAATAGATTATCAGTCGACAATCGATATCCTGCTACGAGATCGTCTAGAACAATATATTTTCACATATGCGAATGTGTCGAATAGGAATATACTTTCGGCCGAATAAATTGGTATTTCGCTACGACATCAGACATGATTCAGAACATTTTGTTCGCGCCGACGGGATGATTCGGGTGCCACCGCCTGATGTGTCTGTAAACGTTCGAGGACGAATTGTCCTTTTTGTGGCAATACGGACACGCGTATCGCGGCGTCTGGCCGCATTTATGCCTAATCAGGTCCCACGTTCTCCGGAAGCCCGCGTTGCACTTCGGACAGATGTAGCTGGTCACCGGTCTTAAGTTACGCCACTCCGACAGTCGTACATCTGAAAGCAAACCAGGACATTAATGAACTTTTCCCCGGTTGCGATCCACGTGGCATGGAAGCGCTCGCTTCCCGAGAATGAACGACATCGTAACGCAGCCAAGCGATACGATTCTAATGCGGTAGCCTGCATATTGAATCATGTCCACAGAATCTTGCTACTTTACACCGTGTTAAATCTGTAAGTGTGCGATAAATCGTTGTCGCACAAACAATGTGTGAAAATCGGCATCGCTCACCACGCTCCGAGGCGTTTTGGATCTTGTTTCGCTGTGCAAAAGACAGATAACAAAAGGTCGATAAGTCGCATACATGACTACAAAATGCGCAACACTGACATGTGGAGTGCACCTTGAGGGATAATAAAGCACGACTATGTATTATTTTATTCCACTCGTGCTGTCTTCGATTAATCAAGCGACGTGCAATAAATACGAATTTTATTCACAATATATACATGTAGTTTTTTTCAGCGTGTTACACTTTTGCGAAAATTACGAATCCACGTAAATTCACGTAAATTTGGACAATATGAAGCGAAAACTATTTGTGTCTTGTATAAAATAAATTTACATAAAGTTGACTGATAATAAAGCTATCATTAATAATTTCCAGACCGTAAATCACATAAACGTAATCTCGAAAGAAATTTATATAAAAATGCACAAAAATTAATGCGAGAATGATCATGCAGTATCACAACTACTTCATAAAGATGCAGACGTATTACATTTTCTCGGATGAGTCAATCGTCGCAGTTACGTTGGTCTTTCTTTTACAATTTTATTGAGGTAAACGATACATTCGTGCATCGTAAATCAGATTCTTGTCGGATTGTCGACTGAATAATAGATTCGCAAATGGCACACATTTACAATGCAATCGGAGAGCAATCATTTCCAAAAGCACAGTCCATTTCTTTTCAGATGCAGAGAAATCAATTTCTAATACACATTATCACGTATATGATTTTTAAAAAAAGAGAATAATTTTATCAAAAGTAAAACTTAAACACTTTTGAAAACTCGCTCTTCAATCGTTCTATTGTAGCCGCGGACTTCGCAATTCCTACATAATAGGAACTCACAATTGAAGAAAGAAGATAAAAATATTTACAAATTTACATTACGCACATTTATGTCTATTTGCAGACTTCTGTTCGAATTTATAAACATTTTGGCGAAGTCAGCATTGTAGATTCTTCTTGCGCGAGGAAATAAAAATGAGTAGATCCTGAAAAAAATGACTTTTCTCTACACATATTTCAAGTTAAAATTTGGTGAACATTAAATTCATTAGAACTTACAAATAAATTCGGAATAATGAAAAAAGAAAATAAATAATGTTAATATAACTTTTTATGATTTAGATGCAAAATGTGTTTTCTATTAGATTTATTACAATATATTCCAGTTTTATATATCATTATATATCATCAACACGGACAAACTATCATTTCTCAAGATGATTATAAAATCGATAAAACATAAAAAGATTTCAATGCAAAAGATTTCTATTAGCGCTAACAAAGAGAAAGTCAAATATTTAAATAAAATTTTATATCGCCAATCTAAATTTATGTATTAAGCAGAAAACAAGTAAAAATTTATATCATAAGATGCAAATAAAACGATGAACGTAAAAAATACATATAATAATTATAAATTATATTGTAAAATATACAATAATATATATATAAAATATGTATTATAAATCAAAATCTCTTTCTCATTTCTTCTTTTCTCATTTTTACAGCCACTTGCATCACCTGTATCACAAAAATGTCTTAATTTAGTCCACAAGTTAAGACGACTGCCCGATGGCAGACGACGAATCACGAAAGGAAGAGGTAGAAGAACGAGAAGACTCTAATCTGTCCACGTACACCGGTTTTCCGTTGTGTCGCATTCTAATATGCTTGTAAATATTCGACGAGCACTTGTCCCTTTTGCTGCAGTAAGGGCACTTGAACCTCGGCTCCTTGCCGCAGTCGTACTTCATGTGTGTCTTCAGCGTCTTCTTGTAAGTATAGCCGGCATTGCATCTGGGACAGTGGTACGCCATTTTCCCAGTTTGCCAGAAGGGTCCATTTTCGTTCTTGACCTCGTTCTGGCTGCCACCGTAATTCACCCTCAGGATGTCCATGATACGAGCGTCGTAAGGTTGCAGGTATCGTCCTACGAACAGGAAGAAGAAGAGCCACGATTAGTCTGGATCACGAACACTGGACGAGCGTGACGTAACTGTGGCCAAAACAGAAAAGAACGTAACAGGCGACACGATAAGAGGGAGATGAATGAACAAAAGGCGTAAACGAAGAGATCTCTCCTGATCGCGTCTGTGCCATCACAATCGGAGAGACGCGCGAGGGTGGCGAAGTAGCAAGATAAGAAACGAGGGCCGAGTAGAACGAGCAGAATATCCGCCGGCTCACCAAGTGATAGGGTACAACGAGGGATGTCTTGAGGAAGAAAGGAGACAATGTCGCAGTCTTAGAGATCTTATTATCGTGACCGAGTGCTACATCCACCAGAAGAATCTCGAGCGAGAGCGAAATACGAAGAAAATAGATTCTTCGCTGCAGATTCCTCGGGTGTCCTTGGGCACTCCTTTGCGACAGCACCTGCTAGTCCATCGAGTAACACGACGATCTCGTGGTAGGAAAGATCAGGGCCGATAATTCGCTTGACCGACGTCTCGACGAAATGCCATTTGTCTCTTAGTTCGGACATTAAAGAATTCTTGGCTCAGTGTAAGCGATAGGCGTGGATGTTGCTGCCTTTATGATGCATCCTGATGTGCCTGTAAGTGTTGGAGGACTTTCTGTCTTTCTTTCCGCAGTAAGGACACTGGAACCTCGGCTCTTTTCCGCATTCATGCCTATAATGTGTCAGCATGTTGCTCTTCTTGCTGAAGGAACTACCGCACCGCGGACAGAAGTACCTCTCCCTGTGCTCGATTCCTCGGCAATCCCTATGCGATACTGAAAAAAGAAACAAACCGAGATCGAGATCAGTGAAAGCAAAATTGCAAAATATGTCGATGTTCCACACAATTAACGCAAAAACTCAAGAAAAAACTAATTTTATTGTTAGGTTTAAAAAACAAAGCTGTAGTCCTTCCCTATTAATACTTACATACAGTATAATATCATATTTGGCGATGTTTCACGTCAATATTTGTTGCAAAGTTTCTTCCATTTTATTGAATTACATAGAAATCTCATCGTGTTTAACCAAAATATTAAATGACAATGTTAACAATTCATATAAAAAATTTAACATATAATTAATATATTGTTAAAAAAAGAAAATCGAAAATATATAAAAATATTTAACAACATACTCGGGAATAAAACTTACGATTATAAATAATTAGAGTACAAAAAAAATTGAAAAGATATAATTAGAGAAAATTATAAATTTATTGAAATCTAATCCTGAATGTAATTTAAAAAAAATTATTTGATGTTAATGATGGAAATTTGACAGTAAAAAGAATTGTAGTTTATTATATATTTTCTTGTTGACTTGATCTTGCTTAGATCGACCCAACCATGACCTGAACCTGAAAAAGAAAAGTATACTTTCCAATCGCGAAAAATTATCGTCTTTGCAAATGCCTTTTTAAAGAAATCATCACTGTTATAGGAAATGTGAAAGGACAACAGTATTACGTTTTAATCGATCAATATATAAACAACAACATTTATTGCTCAATAATCAAGAAAGTGTAATTACAAATCCACAGCGCAACATTTTGTAGTGTAAATTTGGTCAAAAACGCGTAAATAGTAATTCATTACTTATAACATTTCGTCGTTTTTTTAACGTTGCAAGATTAAAAATAGAAAGAATTATATAAATAACTTATGCATTTACACAAATAAATAATTACAACTTTATTAGCATCTTTGAGGCCCATTTGAATGAAAGAAAAATCACAAACGCAAATGATAGAAATTCACTGAGATTTATACAATTTCAAAAGAGGTCCTCTACATTTTATACCCTTAAAAAATTTTTAATAAGATTTTTTTAATAACAATTTTAGCAATATTATAAAACATGATAAAAAAATCTTCAACTCTAGAATCAAAAGTACGAATAGATAAATATATTATAAGGAGACGGCACACACATGTTCAAAATCAAAATTAAAGAGATAATCCTTAAAGTAATTACTGTTGGTTAATTATTAACTTAACTAGTTAGACTAGTAAGTTAAGTTAACTAGTTAGACTAGTTAGCGAAACAATTTAACTCGCTAGTTCTGATTTCGATAGACTCGTCCGTGTCGTGTATTCAATTTGTTGATTATAAAAATTCAGTGACACCTCCAAATCAATCGTTAAATTTTTGCGTCTTCAACAATGTGAAGTCTTCTCAAGAGACAGTCTACGAAACACTATGAGGGATTCTTCCGAGAACGCCCATACTCCAATTTGGCTCAAATTTTGTAAATACAATTTCTTTTAGATAAAAGTTTTTCCCTGGACCCCGCCATAGCCGTCATTTTTAAAACATAAAAAATTGTCAAAAAAGTTAGCTAACCTTGGAGTCGCCAAATATCCATCTATTATACTTCATGTTTATTTAAAAGGAACCTATTTACAAAATTTGAGCCAAATTGGAGCGTGGGCGTTTTCGGAAGAATAGCCACACTATGTACGTACAAAGTAATTTCATTTCTGATATTTTGATGTTGATGAAGATAATAGTTATTCGCAAATTTTCGAAACAAAAATCTGTCCCTCGCATTAAATCCTTGCCTATCGACAGTGTTTTCGCATTTCTCTCGCCTTTCTACTGCAATCGATCTGGCTTGAAGAAGGGCATGTGTTTGTGAATTCTTCGCATATGCTTGTACACGTTAGAGCTGTACTTGGACTGGTACTCGCAGTAGATGCATCGGAAGTAGCGTTTCTCGCGATGATCGCCGCGGAATCGTTGGTGTCGCATTACAGGATCCTTCGGCGAAAAACTGTGAGGAACGGCCGTACCGGAGCAATGGGGAAAGCTGGACCAGCTATCACTGTAGGGCATGGATCTACCTGGAAGAATTGTTATAACATCAGAAGAATTAAGTAAGCATTCTCGTTCGAGCTTACAGCGCTCTCATAAATCAATGTCCCGACATTTGATGTTACGACATTTCAACAATACACACACGTGATTCAGTTTGGACTTAGCCCCGGCCACTAAACCTGGAAGATATACTTGTCACCGTTACAAGAGAACATATGCAACCTACGTGATATCAAGCGAAAAACATAAAAAGCAAATCTACATTAAAACACGCGAACATTGTCGGCATACTTTCAAGAACAACATAATTCTCCTTTAAGGATGATGATGATTAAAATGCAGTTTAAAATTGAAAAAAAAAGAAACTTAAAATCATATCACTGAATGAGCGATTTTTTTCTCGCATCTCGTACTGTCGTCCGGACAAGCCATTTTAAAGCGGTTCGACCTATGTAATTGGATGAAAAAAATGCACTTGATGAAAACGTGGATGATGAGATAGCCATAAAAACACAACGTAAACATAAAGTACATAATGCACTTTAAAATATAGTGTTTATAAATAATACCCAAGGAAATAAGATGACAAGATACATCTTGTCGTTATATATTATTTTACTAATAACTCATTATCAAACATGTTCAAATACATACATATATTTTTACATTTATATTGAGACATTGATATAAACATTATTAACGCATGCTAGTTACAAATCTTCGAGTTAACTTTTAAATTTATCCTTGAGATAATTCATTCGTTCGTCTATTTCAAATAATTCAGGGTAAAAAATTCAATCGATTCAATATAAATTATTGCGATCGATTATGCATTAGAAATTATTTGCTAAAGATATAGATTTTTATTTACCTCAAAAGTAAAAGGCGCGCGAGTTTTCTTTAACTTCTAACAAAATAAATGTCGATAAATACTCCGACGTGTAAATATAAATCTTTGATAAAGGACAAAAGTAAAATTAAAGATACTAATGAAGAATAAAATATGAAAATTAAGAAACGTCAGAAACACTTTTTTCGTTTTTTTAACACCTATTTGATAATTATTACAAATTGGATACATCAGATGGAACACAACACTCAATTCTTGCGCGTGTTAAAGAAGATTAGAATTATATTATCAATCAAGAATATTCAATATCACATATATGTAAAAATGACTATAATTTATTTTCCATAATATGTATAACTTAAAAACAACGCGAATATATATTTTACTAACTATATTTTCTATTCCTAACTCTTTCGATAAATGTTTTTAATAATTTAAGAAAAGCAGTAATTCGCTTACAGTAGCTACAAAAGTAAGGAAATTAATTACTGATGGTAACGATATTGTTTGCAATTGACTGAGAACTGTAACCTCGTAAAAATAACAATGCGTAAAGTCTTGGGCCTTTCAAACAGATTTCAAGTATATATTACAATATATAATATGATAGTATAAAACTTATTTATGGCCATTTTATTTCTAATAAACGATTCTACTTGAGATACGTGGAATTTCGCACATTTCTTTAAACTTTGCTTCTCATCTATTATTTGTACGAAAAGTAAATCGTCTTTCTATTTCTTCGTTTCTACCGTTTATACCTTAAACAGTCAACAAAGATAATTAAAAATGTAACTCGATATTTCTCAAATCTTATTTTTCTCAATATCTTTTTTTTTAAGTATAAACAGATCGGAAAAATCTCTCATTATCTCATCACGTGTCAGTACTTTCCACATTCTCAGTGAAGGAATAATCGCAAGTATCTAACGCGTGAGGATCATGCACTTCCTACATGGTTGAAAGAAATAAAAATGACTATTTACCTGTTTATAGGCGGAACACATATAAATTCTTCGACGTATCATAAATATTCGCATCTTTCATGCATATCAAGTATTTTCGAAACTCGAATCGCGCCGATTCTACGTCAATCTCTACACCAATTTCTAGTAACGATGTACTCTCGTATGTACATATAATTAAAATTAAATGTAGTAACTACATTCTGTAACGCAACGCAGTAAAAACTTTCACGGTTTTATCACAGAAACTTGTCATTTGCGCATAATTTTACATCGTTTCAATGTTTTCTTCAACAAAGATGATAATCTTTTGTTGTGTTACCAGATGAAAAATAAATAACCATGATCAGAATTAATTTGCCAAATATAAAATGTATCTCTTTCCACGAAAATTTAACAACGGTCGAGAGGCTAATCAATTTTTCTTTCATTCGTTCACAAAATTCAACGCAAAAGTAAGTCGTCATCATTATGAGATTTATTTAAAACACTGTGTCAATCTCATGCAAACACGTGCGATCAATTGAAACGTATTTGTATTGGAGATTGTATAAAGGTCCTCTCCCTCGGGAAACATCCTAAGGGAGGAAGAGCGGGAGACGGGAGGGAGGATATATCTTTTTTTTTTTCGAAGGGGAATTTAACTTCGACTCGCGATACGATATACGATATATAAATTAAACTACATCAGTCTCGGAGTCGCGTTTAGTACAGCTTGACGAATCGCAGCTCCATGTTGCGGTGCTTCGCCCGGATGTGTCTGTACACAGCTTGCGTGTACTTGCTACGCATGTCGCAGTGGGGACACTTGAAGCGTGGCATGTCGACGCACTCTAGCCGGTAGTGTCGGCTCATGCCGCCGGGAGTGCGGAAGACTCGGGCACACCTAGGACAGGGATAGCCACGTCGGTTCACGGCTTGAAGTCTGAGCGTGTGACGGGAATTCCGCACAACGCCGTGATACTTCTGCAGGACGATCGGCCTGAAGTCTGCAAGCACAAATACAGACGGGGATCTACGTTAGAGCGGTGGCACGCAACCGGTATTCTCTTAATAGCGGGGAGAATTCGAGAAGCAGCGAAGAGGACGGGAAATGCGCAGGAATATCGGGACGCCTCCTCCTCCTCGGGAGCGATCGGAGGTTGCCTCGATCTGCATCGAAATGCTTGAGAACCTAGTGCCCGGATATGCTTATACATCAGCCAAGCTTCTTCGGTATCAAGGCGTAGCGTTAGGCTTGTTAAAAAAATCATAGAAGTTCGATTTTATTTTCGCAATACTGGCTAAAACAGTCACAATACAAGGACAATACAAGGACAATACTGACGGAACTGTCTCGGTGTAATTCACGTTAAACTGTCCCTCCAAAACTCTCCATCACCGATCTACAGACACGGATGGCGGATCAACCTTCGAGGGAACACACCGAGAACGCCGTTCAAACAGGAACATTCACTGCCCTCGAGGAACACGCAAGTGAAACGACTTCGATTTCATCGACGACCGCGTATATTGATGCATCTTATCGTACAGAGTATTCTTCCCACTAGTAGAGCTTGTTCAGCGTGACCTTCTGTCCCGGGTGGATCTTCCTGATATGATTGTAGATCGAGTGGGACCATTTACTGACGTGGCCGCAGTACGGGCACTGATAACGCGGCAGTGAGTCACACTCGTATTTGTAATGCCGGTACATCGAGTAGCTCTGCGAGAAGGACTTCTCGCATTTCGGACAGTGATACCTCCGGTCGTGGGGGCCGATCGCGTTCTCCATCGTCTTGCGTAGGTGCTGCTGCAGCCGTTGCTGATGCGACCGTCGCGGCGCCGTCTGAGATCGCGCTGCCTCGTTCCTCAGCCCGTCGCCCCACAATTCTGAAACCGATGTCACCTCGCGTTAATAACTGTTCGCAGTGATAACTGTTGACACGCGACTACGACTGCAAAACGGCTATAGGCATGAAACAAGGGAACCAAAGGAGTCTCCTTCGTAAAAAAAAATATATATATACGTTTAATATTTCAACGCGAAATGATAAACACGAACCGTAATAATGATCGAACCACAATAATCTTGTTGTCCAACGCAGCAGTAGACTGCACCCTCTCGACCGGTTAATCCAAGCTTTTCGAAAATTCCGTAGCAACCAGGATATTCTAAGCTTAATAATTACGTCATTATTATGTGCCTAACGTAATCATTTTAATTAGCACACGATAGAGTGAACATATTTACGACGCTGCCAGTTTCTTCGTCATTGTATTCATGTTTATGACTTAAAGACCTCGCTCTGTAGCCGCAAATCATCTAGAAATCTGTAACAAGACACATCCGTGTAGTCGATTATTTGCATTAACAACAATTGAACTTTCGGATTTATTTTGATGCAGTTGCAACGAGCGAGATTTACCTCAAGTCCACCACAGCAGCGAGGCATAAAGAAACACGGTCAGATGTTTTGTGAAAATCTATTGCTGTGATACGCCACGCATAGCAATGTTATCTAAATAATGAAAGGAAATGGATTTTTCTTCGTGTTTTTATTATTCTTTTTACATCTGAGAATGCTATGTACAATACAGTCTTGAATTTAAGGACCTGGAGATGTCAATTCCCGAATACGAATGGAAATTGAAGCAACCCATGATTACACAATTAAATTAGCAATAATTTAGCAAAGACGCGTGGAGAAATTAATACTGGTAAAAATACTTTAGCACAATACCAATCACAAATCGAATGTACAATTAATTTTACAATAGTCTCCATAAGGCGCCAGGAAATCTTTTCGAAACTATTCCCTGAAATTCTCTTAATATACACATGCGCGCGTAAGTTTTCTTTGGTCTTACTACTCAATGCCGAGAACGAAACTTGCGCATTCATGAATGCAGAAACGCAAGCGGCAAGAATACGGAAAACGAAAATTCCCTTCGACCAATGCGGTGAGTAGATCCGAGTGTACAATCTCTTCGTTTCCATCACGCTGGTTCGCCACTCGTCGTGGCGAAGACGTCGCGCGGGTTCAGTAAAGCTTGACGAGAGTCACTTGCTCCTTCGGATGCATACACCTCACGTGCTGATAAATGTTCGAGGTCTTCTTGCTGCACAGGTTGCAGTACGGGCACTTATACCTGGGCGCTTTGCCACACTCGTACCTGTAATGACCAAGCATGGTGTCCCGTCTGCCGTAACCGTTGTTGCAATTGGGACAGTGGAACTTGCCGGTGACCAAATTGTACTGTATATCCCGTTTCTTCGCGTACTTCTTCCGGTGCGTGACATAAAGCTCCACGGGCCTGCCACCTACAAAAGATCGTGCCACGGTCAACATCTTCGTTCGCTCGGGACGTGTCTCGGGAACATCCTGTTCGAGGATGAACGCATCAAGATTCCATGCAGAAGGAATGTTCGCGGGAAGTAAATAAATGAGATACAGAAAGAGAAAGAAAGAGAAAGAGAGAGAGAAAAAGAGAGAGAGAGAGAGAGAGAGAGAGAGAGAGAGAGAGAGAGAGAGAGAGAGAGAGAGAGAGCAGAAGTGAACCAGAGAAAAAGACATAAGATACAAAAGAAAAGTAAAAGTCGGAGTTACGGTGAATGTAACTCTTAAGAGTATTTTCGTTTTTCTAGTAAAAGTTTTTTATTGAAACTTGAAAACAGGCGCACGTTCGGTCGTTTTACATGACTAAGTACATTATCAGATAACTAGGTGTGATCCTCCGATGAAAAAGATACTACTTGAGTAGAATGTTAATCTACTTCTACTTAACGTAATTTTCTTTTGCTTATGTCGCCGTCGAAAATTGACGATCGTGTTAATTCTCCGCGAAAAAATTCATTTCCACTAATCAATTTTGTCTTGTGTTTCCGGAGCGGTTTGAGCTCGCACAAAACTATCTCGTGCGTTTGTGTAACTTTAAAATCACATGTAATCTGAAACATGTTAAGAGATCAAAGTATCAACTGTTGAACTATTAACTAGATATTAAGTAAACGTTCGTATATTATACAATGTTGGTACGTAAAACATTTTTCGCGGAACTAGGTGAACAAAGGAACAAGAAACTGTGATACGATTCGATAGTGGAAAGGGAAGAACGTGGAACGCGAAACTCAATCTTCCCAGGTCTGTTTAAACACTCGGCAGACGAGTACAAGCGTTCTCGATAACGCGCGCTGTGTCCCAAATATAACAAACGAAAGTAACATTTAATAATTGCTAACAGGTACAAAAAGACGGTAGTCTCTCAGGAATAAGGCTCCAGTCGAATAGACATTTGTTCCCAGCTTGTCTTTCGCCCACCGTCGGTGGAGAGAACGTAAACGCGTCGCAAGTCGTGCGTTAAGCCGACGCTCGCACGAGATGCCACTGATCGCGCGTGTCGTGCGCGGGCCGCGCGGCTTGTCCTAGAAGAGCGTGTTGCAGATGACCAGCTTCGACGGGTGCTTGTGCCTGATATGGTCCTGCACATTGAACTTCTTTTTGCTAAGCATGCCGCAGTAGGGGCACTCGAACCGCGGCGGCTTGCCGCAGTCGTACTTGAAGTGGGCCGTGACGGCGCTCTTCGTGGAGTAGCTCTTGCGACAGCGGGGACACTGGAAGCGGATCCTCATCTTCCTCGGGCCCCTGTTACCCGGACCGACACCCTCCGGCCACGGTAACATTTGTAGAAACGCTGAAAAAGACACGGAAGTGCGCGATTAGCTCACTTGGATCCGGAGACGCGCGCCCGGGCCTCTGCGAGGTCGCGGGGATGAATCTTGGAGTAAGTTCGCGGTCCACGTACTCTCTTTTTCTCAAACACTCTGCGAAGCAACAACACGCAGCACACTCGCGTGAGAAAACGGCTCTCGCAAAGCTTCGAGAACTTGGAGGATTCGAACAGAATTGCAAACTACTTTTTGCGTATGCCGACAATTACTTGAAAGAATGGTTCAACCTGATTCGACAAACTATTGAAATCAACGAAGAGAATACTCCCGAAGGCAATTATTTTAAGAGATTATCTTGCTTCCATCCTCACGAGGAAAGAATTCCTCGCATTGTTTAGTAAGAAACGAACAAATAAAGCAGTTAAAGGTATCCTCAAGCTGTGCACGAACGGACTGCGCGGTAATCAATCGATTTCTATGTCGAATGATGACGGAGAACCAGATGAAATGTGTCTGTGAAGATAGAGTGTTAGTCCGATAGGTAATTGTGCGTCTGGCTACTTGAAAACTCACAGTACAGAGATGCGATCGTTTCCGCGAATTATTGTCCAAGTGATCCACGATTTAAGGATGTCTTATTGTTCTGCAAAAAAAATAGATATTAATAAAATAAGCAACAGTCGGTCTACACGTAAGACGTCCCAAAGAACAATATATATAAATTAATTAATTAGATTCGTTAATTAATGTTAACTTCTACGTTCTGTTAGAAATAAAATTATTAAGGATAAAAATCAGGGAAAAATTCTTCAATAAATCCCTTTATTTAATTCGTTTTAACTTTATTTAGTTTTTTTTATTTAAATAGAATCTATTAAAAATTAACCTTTTATACATCAAGTACACGGTAGTATCTTGTATAATCGTTAGTATTTTCATTAAGACTAGAAATTACTCGAGTAATAGAGGAATGCGGTATACCGCGACTTATTCCTGAATGTAAGGAAGTCTAACTATTTCAAGTTTCGATCCGGGATGCTTGACGCGTATATGCTTGTAGACATTGTTAGACTGCTTGCTCTTCATGCCACAGTAGGGACACTGAAACCTCGGCGGAAAGCCGCATTCGAATCTACAATGTCGCAACATGTGATGCGCATGACGATAGCTCTTATGACACTTCGGACACGCGGACCTAACAACAAATCCATTTCTCTATATCATTAATAGGAAAGTTAGAAAATACAAAAATGTATCAAGAATTTACTGACGAATTAATAATATTCAGTATTCATTTTCTAATTTTCATAATCATATTTTATTTAATTAAACGTATACGCACTATACAAAAAGTTACGTAACAAAGGAAATTTAATTCCGTAATTAACCGAAATTTCACTCTTGCAGTTTGTAAGAGATAATTGTAGTAGTCTATCGTGAGTATTACAAAGAAAACAAAAAAAATTATCAAAACTAATCTAATAAATAAAAGAGGAAAAATAATTTAAAAAGTAATCCTAGCAATACTTGGCGATTTTATGTTTCACATAAATAAATTAGCTTAAACAGATACTTTCCATCTCACCTCGCATTAACGTCCAACGAATTCTTTTGTTTCCTTGACGAGTATTCCTGAACTGCTTGTTGATATGCATTCAAAGCTGGTAACATAAACGAATCTGAAAGCAAAAATTGGAAAAATCATGGTGCAAAGATAGCGCTTATGTGACATGTTGAAATTCCGAGATTGATTGGAAAAGGAAACCATCACAAAACACAAGGAACTCATGTGATAATACTTTCTTCTCTTGAGTCTCAATTGTATATTTTCACCATTATCATGCGTTCATAAAAAAAAACCGGCCATATTCCTATACACTAATTAACACAGTTATGGACAGCGAAGGTGTCGATCTCGATGCTAAAATAACATCAGAGAGTAATCGTTCTTTTATAATCCTCGATCGATACACGATTGATATCCTTCGGACTTGTATATACAAAATGTCAATCTATATTTTACAAATTTACAAGTCAAGAAGATCCCTTCCAGCATGGTGAACTCTTCGAAGGTAAAAATATATTTTTCGTAAGGAAAGTTCACGCTACTCGCCTTAAAATTAATGCCCGAGAGAAGTCTCCAATGTGCCGTCTACTTCTTCATGCAATCAAAACTTTGCCGTCTACGTCATGCATCAAGTCGCAGAAACTTTGAGGTTTTAATGGCAAAACTACGTGGATGTAAGTTGTACCTCAATCATAAACATCATCCACAATATTTGACTTTATTAAAGGCGAAAGAAAATCTATGTAAAATATTTCAAAAATTTTATAATTTAATTATAACATTTTCATAACATATGAAAGTTTCCACATGACTTAACGAAGTAAAAAAGGAATCAAGATTGAAGTAATAAAATAATTGACAATATAATATTTCACTGCAATTCACCAGAAACAATTTAAATGTGTAAGTTCGAGATGCCACCAGGACAATTTCGAACTAGTTTGAAATGATCGGGTTTTCATCTGTAATGCTTTTTGTTCGTGGCGACGTCTGTCACTAATGATGCGCGTCTCGCGATTCTGTGTCCTGATGTGCCAATACACGTTCGATTCCGTTTTCAAATATGTTGCGCAGTGAGGACATTCGATTTAGACCGCGGATCACAGCAATAATTCACGTATCTCTTCAAGTTTATCGTCCTGCAGAAATTTCTCTAACACTTCAGACAACACTTGAAATGCTTATAATTTAAAAAGTATATGGTGCATCGATTAAAACAAATATTCGTCATGCCAAAATTTAAGAATAGTTACAAGAAAAATAAACGAGGGTCATTAGTACAAAAATTGACACGTGATGAAAGAATTATACTTTAATGTCATATTCATGTATCATGTCATATCTCTCATCATTACAAGAAAAATGAAATCAGACAGACAGATTTCCTAACGATGATGTGAATGTCCTAGTAACAGCGAGATATTCTGCGACCATTCGTTTACTTTTGGCAGCGAGTCTGTCGAGGTCCCGTCACTCTGCGCCAAATTATCCTTGCAGTAGTAGCTCCTCGTACGCAACACATCGATGGCAAAAACGTCCCGATTCTCGTGCAGACGTTTCACGTGCTTGTAAGTGTCCGAAGCATATCGCGATATGTACATGCAGTAAGGACATTTGTAACGAGGCTCCTTGCCGTTGCAGGCACTTATTACGTGACGCTTCAGATGGCATTTCTTCGTATAATTGTTGGGGCAGTTTAAACACTGATACGGTCGTATGTTCCTGGGACAATAAGTATACCATGGGTATTCTGAAACATACAAACAACGATACCATGTCCGATTTGTCAGTAAGAAAACGCAAAGTCGTACAGTGCGATAAGCTTAATGTAACAATATAAATTACAGGAGAATTTCAATGAGGGACAATTTTATCTTGTAGAAAATATGATACTTCTCGTAAAAGAAAAAGGAACGAGACTCATAAAACTCGAGGTATAATCAAAATTACGTATGGATGGAAAACGAAGGTAAGCATTTTAACGTATATCCACAATATTAATCCACATATTTTTGACATTTCATATAAGATAAAGATCAGAAAAATTAAATTTTTGAAACGTTAATACAATAATCACTTATACAACTTATACACATTGTCATTATTAATATAATTATATACAAATATGATAAGAGTATACGAATTATACAAAGAAACCTGTAGAACAAAGAAGAACTCGTTGTAATGTCGCTACATCAATTCTTCGTCGAATTATAGTGTTTCGAAAATCCGGCGCGCATACCATCATATGTTACCACCAATCAGCTGATCGTAGCCACGTACTTCGCCGAACAAAAGGTAATCTCGACGCACAGGTGCCGCGACTTCGGCCTGAAATCGAAATCATAGATTAATGTAAATGTCTATTTCTTCGCGAAGAAAAATCGCCACCTGTTATTGGACTCGTTTAAAAGCTGAAACTTTTCATGAATCACAAAATAGTATATTTGTTAAAAAATTCCTACACATCTAGAAATTCTTCTGTTGCAATTTCGAAGTTTTACAATAAACATTGCAAGTGCCAAAATTTTCGGAAAAAAGTAAAAAGACAATATTTTATATTTACAATAACTTTATTTATAATTTAAAAGAGATATCAAACTGTTTTGTATCAGTTTTTAGTCCTTTACAAGCTGTTGAATTCTTTCAGCAACAATAACCTATCACAATTTCTTAACATCCATAAAATCCACATAAACTGAAATAAGCCTCCACAAAGTTCTATTTAAAGTTACAACTCATTTGTATTGCTATCACTATTTAAGAAGTAAAATACATTTCAATTTAATATCACTTATTTTATACCTTAAAAAAAATTAAAAAAATATGATGGATACTTTTTCCATTCAGACATAAATGTGGATATATCTTTAGAAATTAACGGTATCTTAATTCGACAAACATATAATTATAATAATTCAAACAAAGTCGAATTTTCTGCATCCCTTCCGCAACTGCAATCGCTAATTTTAACAAATACTATTCGCTCAATATATTACTGAGTTCCCTACTTTCAACAGGATAACATTTTGTGCAATTACGTTGTTAAATACCTCGTGTTGTCTTTATGATATTTCACCAAGTCAGCAGAAATTCAATAAGAAATTTGTTGCTGAATAATATCGATAACATAGACACAACGATTCTTATGCTTGGCTTGAATATGTTTCTGTACACTAGCCTTGTAATTAACATTATAGTCACAGTAGGGACACTTGAACCTGGGCTTCTGGCCACATTTGTAGATAACGTGGGTCTGCAGGGTCTTTTTTCGCTTGAAGACACTTCGACAATTCGGATTAGGACACGGAAACCAGTCTGAAGACCTCCCTTCCTTGTTGTTCCTGGTGTTTTTGTTATCTGAAAAAATAACAATTGGTTCGTAATATCATGTTTCAGGGGTGTTCATCAAGAAACGACAGAGTTCTTGTCACTAATCGTTCTTGGAACGTCAGAACGAGAGAAACGCTTTTATTCGTAAAATAACAATTCATTAATTCAAATCAGTTCTTCTTTTCCATGTAGATTTTCTTCTTCGCTTTCAACACTGCAGTTGTAATTTTGAACAAATAATATTTCACTCAATATACTGGTGAATTCTTTATTTATGATATATTTTATAAACGATATATTATATAAATATACATTGTCACATATCGTCTTTATAATATTTCTTGAAATCAAAAATAATTTACTCGACGACTTTTTGCTGAGAAATATCGATGACATAGACATAGCTATTCTTATGTTTAGCCAGAATGTGTCTTCGTACGTCCTGCTTGTACTTGACAATATACTCGCAGTAGGGACATTTGAACCTGAGCTTCAGATTGCAATAGTGGCGTATGTGGAACTGCAGGTTCTTTTGCAACATGAAGGTACTCCGACAATTCAGATTAGGACACTGAAACTTGCCTCGATACCTCCGTTGCTTAGTGTGACGATAGGTCCCCAAGTCTTTGTTATCTGAAAAAGAAACAATTCATTCCCGACAAAATGTTTCAGAGATTCTCGTCGAGAAAAGGCAGAGCTCCTACTACTAATCGTTCTTAGAACGTCAGAACGAGATAAATGCTATTATTCCTAAAATACTAATTACTCGACCATTGTGGCTGTGATAATAATTAATTCATACAAAATTTTTTCCATGTAAATTTTTTCTTCTCTTCCAAAACTGCAAATATAACTCTTGACAAAGGTTTCACTCAATATGCTACTGAATTCTTTATTTATGACACATTTTGTATAAATATTTACATTGTCACATATGCCATATCGTCTTTATAATATTTGAAGTCAAGAAAATTTACTCAAGGACTTTTTGCTCGTAAGTATCGATGACATAGACATGATTATTCTCATGTCTTTTCGAAATGTGTCTTTGTACATCGTACTTATGCTTGGCAATATAGTCACAATATGGACACTTGAACTTTCTTTCCAACGAAAAGGTGCTCCGACAATTCGAATTAGGGCATAAAAACTTGCCTAAATACTTCCGTTTCTTGGTGCGACAAAAGGTTCTAGGCCTTTTGTAATCTGAAAAAGTAACGAACGTTCGTTCAAGATAAAATACGTCAGAGATGGTCGTCGAGAAAAGACAGAGTTCCTGCCGCTAATCGTTGTGGAACGTCAGACCGAGGTAAACGCCGTATTATCCCAGCAAACATTGCAGCAACGTTGCGACAATGTTGTAACATTGCTGTAACGTTGCTGCAATATTATGTGTTTGCTGGTATATTATTTATGAACTAACAAATAATTAATTAAGACAAGATCTGCTTTCTCATGTAGATTTATTTCTTTTCAAAACTGTAGTTGTAATGTTTGACAAATAATATTCCACTCGATATACCATTGAATGCTTTATTTGAAATACATTTTGTGTAAATATTTCCAATTTGTAAATATTACAAGTAAATATGGGATATTATTCTTGCAGTCAGAGAAAATTTACTCTACAACTTTTTGCAGAAAAGTATCGATGACATAGACATACCGATTCTTGTGTATACTCTGAATGTGTCGTCGTACATAGAACTTGTGCTTTACAAGGTAGTCGCAATAAGGGCACTTGAACCTGGGCTTCCGGCAGCAAAACGTACTAAGGTGATGCGTCAGGGACTTTTGTGTCCTGAATGAACGCTGACAATTCAGAGTAGGACACTGAAACCTGCCTGAATACTTCAGTCTGTTGGTGTGACAATAGGTCCTGAGGTTTTCGATATCTGAAAAAGTAACAATTCGTTCATGATAAAATATTTCAGAGGTACTCGTCGAGAAAAGACAAAGTTTATGTCGCTAATCGTTCTTGAAACTTCAAAACAAAAAAAACTCCGTTATTCGTAAAAGAATGAATAATTAATTCAAACATCTGCTTTTCCATGTAAATCGTCTTCCCTTTCGAAATTGGAATTGCAAGAACTTCGCCCGTTTTGAGGTATCCGGGCGTGTAGTGATCAATTATATACAATTTTGCAAATAATTATGATAGTATTAAAGAAAACTAGTTTTAGATCTTCAAACCCTCGCCGGGAGCACTTCTGACCTTCTAAAGATGTCATTTTACTCGTTCAATGACTCATCATCAGAGATATCCAAGATGATAAATATTATATGTCATTGCTATGATAAAGGTGTGTGCACCATCAAAAGGTTTTAAACATATCCTACATTTCAAATGATCGATATAATATGAACACACTAACCCTACAGTATCTACAGTACCTACGAGTACTATTCTTACATGAGTAGTGATATTCTTTAATAGCAATTCCTAACTAGGAGGTTCATCAGCTGCTACGTTGGTTCAGTTCTAATTTGTATCGTCCATTTTGAGTTACATGCTCCACTAGCAAGACCCAACATGATTTGATACTTACCAAAAGCTGTGAAATATGAATCTTTTTCTGCCAACATTAGAAAGTCGTTCAAATACGTCAACAAGTATACAGAAAAATATTCAGCATTTGTTTCTTGCGGTCGTTACCACGAAGACGTGTTTTGGACACGAAAAGAAATCTTCAGGGTGAGAAGAAACATGCTAAATATCATTCTGATATATATAGACACCTTTTGTGAACATAAAAATAACATATTCGTCACCTGGAACAACACTGATGATGAACCATCGAAATAAGATGTCATCTTTAGGAGAGCAAAACTACTTTCGACGAGAGTTTAGGTTCTGAAATTACTTTTCTTTAATTCCTAGCATTATTACCTATAAAATTATATATAATTGATCTCTATGCTCGGACAGCCCAAATCCCTGACGAGAATGGGCAAAGTCCCTTTGACAAATAATATTCTACGTCAGTGTTTTCTTGACCACAACTGGCATTGTTAATAATACAGAAAATTTATTGCAAAAATATTACCTTAGCTCTTGTTTTTCGCAATCTATTTTCTGTATTATTAAAGACGCCAGGTATGTATGGTCAAGAAAACACTGACGTTGTTAATTACCGCTGGCGACATCGAAGAATTCAGATTAAATAACATTCTGCTCAATATGCCTCCCGAATTCTTTATTTGCAACACAGTTTCTATAGCTAATTACATTATAATATATTCCACATTGTTTTATAATGTTACATGAAATCGGAGAAAATTCACTCGAAGACTTTTTGCTGAAAAGTATCGATGACATAGGCATAGCGATTCTTATGTCTAGCCATAATGTGTCTCCGTACATGGGCCTTGTAGTTGACAAAATAGTCGCAGTAGGGACACTTAAACCTGGGTTTCTGGCCACATTGGTAGCGAATGTGGGTCTGCAGGTTCTTTTTCCACGTGAAGGCGCTCCGACAATTAGGATTAGGACACGAAAAATTGTCTGAATACCTCCGTTCCTTAGTGCGACGATAGGTCCTGAATTTTTTGTTATCTGAAAAAGTAACGATTTGTTCGCGATAAAATGCTTCAGAACGGCTGAGATGTTGAGAAAAGACAGAGTTCGTACCGCAAATTATTTTTGAAACTTTAGAACGAAAAAACCTATTATTCGCGCGCGTAAAATAACAAAAACTTAATTAAAACAATATCTGCTTTTCAATGTAGATGTTCTTGTTCCTTTTCACAACTAGAACTGCAATTTTTGATAAATAATATTCCGTTCAATCTGCTGCTGAATTCTTTATTTATGACACATTCAATATACATGTTTACAATGTTACTGATATTGAATAACCCGAAGGTGTACTATTTTCTACGTGTGCAATACTTCTTGTCGTATTTCCTGAAGTCGGAGAAAACTCAAAGACTTTTTGCTCCACTGTGTCGATAGCATAGATATGGTGATTCTTATGTTTAGTCAGAATGTGTCTCCGTATGTATCCCCAGCCATAGGCAAAATGGTCGCAGTAGGGACACTTGAACCTGGGCTTCTGGCCGCATTGGTTGTGAATGTGAGTCTGAAGGCTCCTTTTCCGTATGAAGGACTTCCCACAATTAAAACACGAAAACTTGCCTGAATTCGGCCGTCCCTTGGCATTACGGCGGGTCCTGGATTTTCTCTTATCTGAAATAAAAACGATTCGTTCGCGATAAAATGCTTCAGATATGCTCGTCGAGAACAAATAGAGTTCATGCCCCTAATCCTTTTTGAAACTCTATAAATAGAAAAACGCTATTCACATGTACAAAATAACAAAAACTAATTCAAGCAAGATATTTTCCATGTTGATTTTCTTCTACAGTTTCAAACCTGCAATTGTAATTTTTGAAAAAGATTTCATACAATATGCTACTGAATTCTTTATTTATGACACATTTTGTATAAATAATTACATTGTCAAATATTCCGTCTTGTCTTTATAATATTTCTTGAACTCGAAGAACATTTACTCGACGACTTTTTGCTGAGAAGTATCAATGGAATAAACATAGCGATCCTCATGTTTTCTCAGAATGTGTTTCCGTATGTCCGATTTGTGACTTGACTTGACAATATAGTCGCAATAAGGACACTTGAACCTGGGCTCCTGAGTGCAATAGTAGCGAATGTGGAACTGCAAATTCTTTTGCGACATGAAGGCACTCCGACATTTCAGATTGGGACACGGAAACTTGCCGAAATACCTCCGTTTCGTGGTGCGACGATAGGTCCTGAAGTCTCTGTTATCTGAAAAAATAACGATTCGTTCAAAATATCATCTTTCAGAGGTGCTCATCGAGAAGAGACTTAGTTCCTGCCGCTAATCGTTCTTGAAACTTCAAAACGGGATAACCGTTATTATTCGTAAAATAACAATTAACTCAAACAAGAATGCTTCTTTCCATGTAGATTTTCTTCTTCCCTTTCAAAACTGCTAATGTAATTTTTAACAAAGATTTCACTCAATATACTGATGAATTCTTTATTCAAGACACATTTTGTATAAATATTTACATTGTATCACTCGTGAATATTTACATTGATAAATATGCAATATCGTCTTTATAATATTTCTTGAACTCGACGAAAATTTACTCCAGGACTTTTTGCTCGGAAGTATCGATGACATAGACATAGCTATTCTTATGTTTTCTCAGAATGTGTTTCCGTATATCCGCCTTGTATTTGACAATATAGTCGCAGTAGGGACACTTGAACCTGGGCTTCTGAGTGCAATAGTAGCGAATGTGGAACTGCAGGTTCTTCTGCGACATGAAGGCACTCCGACACTTCGGATTAGGACACGCAAACTTTCCTATACAGCGTTGTTTCTTGGTGAGACGATAGGTCCAATTGTTATCTGAAAAAATAACGATTCGTTCGCAATATCATCTTTCAGAGGTGTTCATTGAGAAGGGACTTATTGTTAATTCCTGCTGCTAATCCTTCGTCAAATTTCAGAACGAGATAAACGTTATTATTGGTAAAATAACGATTAATTTAAACAAGAATTCTTCTTTCCATGTAGATTTTCTTCTTTCCTTCCGAAACTGCTAATGTAATTTTTGACAAAGATCTCACTCAATATGCTGCTGAATTCTTTATTCAAGACACATTTTGCATAAGTATTTACATTATATCACTCGTGAATATTTACATTGTTAAATATGCAATATCGTATTTATAATATTTCTTAAAGCCGAAGAAAACTTACTCGAGGACTTTTTGCATAGAAATATCGATGACATAGACATAGCTATTCTTATGTTTTCTCAGAATGTGTTTCCGTATGTCCGCCTTGTACTTAACAATATAATCGCAGTAGGGACACTTGAACCTGGGGTTCTGAGTACAATAGTAG